AAATGCATGTGGGTACTCAAATGAAAGCTCTTGATGAGTGTAATATCGAAATGAGCTTATATCTTTAAAAACGTCAATATTTAAGAAAGTACAGTGCAATTTAACAGAATTAAGAATTGACCTTGTATCTTGTGAACTATTGACATTTTTTAAGATATAAGCTCATCCCGATGTTACACTCATTAAGGCCTTTCATTTGAGTACCTCCATCATTTTTTCATATATTTATATATATTATATATATATATGTATATATGAAAAATATATCAAAAATACATGTGGGTACTCAAATGAAAGCTCTTGATGAGTGTAACATCAGGATGAGCTTATATCTTTAAAAACGTCAATAGTTAAAAAAGTACAGTGCAATTTAACAAAAGTCTTGAGTTAAGCAGGAAAATGTTTCAAAATTTATACAAGAAAAATATTTAATTAATCTAAACAATGAGTTTTTTAATTTTTTAAATTAAAAAAAAAAGAAATATAGAGATCTAATGATGCAATTGAGGGTGAAAACTATTAATATATACAATACACAATCCATTGAATTCTCACGGTTGTTAAATGAGCCGGGAAAACGGTTGGAAAAATTTAAACGTCAGCTTGTGATGTAACAACAGACAATAACTGATGACACTTTTATTTAGTTACCTAATGATGTTGCCGTTATTACTACTGAATCCCTTTCGAAAGAGTCTCTCCCTTCTATTGAGGCTGTCTGTCTGTTGGTGTATTGGGCTATGCGTCCTCAACGATTTAACCGTAGGCGGTACAGATATATGATGAGCGTGTGATGTCGCTGAGCATACCCAGAACAGTCGCTAAGAATATGTATACACACAAAAAATGAATGAGAATATATGAGAAATAAAATAATTCGGCACGGCCGTTGGTAGTCACGCTCTACTCACCGGTATAATCTCACTTTGAAGCGAATCATTTTTTGTCAATTTCTCATTATAATGTCCTGTCCTCACCGCCGTCGGGCACCCCCCAATGTGGACCACATGTCGTTTACATCGAATCATCAAAATTACCCAGTTTTAATAATAAAGATGAGTGGGACCACTGATTCTAGCTAATATTCATATCCTAAAATTCAGACCAGTAAAAGCTTGGAATTTTTAAAAAAACACTTTTTTTTTTTTTTTTTTTTTAATAATTTTAGCTGAATATTTTTTTATTCAGGATTTTTTTCTCCTCTTATTTCAGTCACATAACTCGTGTATTTTGTTTTTATTCCAGGCCTGAAAGAATAAGGCACAAACAATCCAAGGAGCATGGACTCGGTGCCGGCGCATTAAAACGATCACGAATGCTAAATGTTTCCGAGTATGGAGATGGATTGGCGCCTATGAAGAAATCTAAAAAATAATTATTAGGTTTATTTTGATTGTAAAAATGTTTAATAAATATTTTTAATAAAGAATCTTTTGGTTGTTAGTTATTTTTTTTATACTTCTTTATATTTATGACAAAAAGCGTAGAAAATTTTTTTTTCTAATCACCTCACTGAAATTTTATTGAAAAAATGTAAAATATTTTTTTTTTGTAATAAACCTTCTATACAGTACTGAAAAAAAAATTTTATTTTAATTTTTTATCTTCCCACTTAAAAAATTGAATTTTCAATTATAAAATGCAAGATTTTCGGAAATAGAATTTTGGAAGCCTAAAACATCAAGTTTTTTGAAAATTTTTAAATTTAATAACCAGAAGTTTAAAACAATCAAGATTTAAAGCAAAAAATAAATTTTCTTTACAATTTTTTTGACGCAAGAAATCTATTTTTTTTCTGTATATATATTCGCCGCCATTTTGAAACCAGACATTTTTCTATTTATTACTTCACACTTAGAAAATTTCAATTTGAAATAATTTAAACTTATTAATTAAAATATTAACAATTTAAACCAAAAAGTTTAGTTAAAAATTAATAATAAACAAATATTTGAATAATCTAACTTGTAGTTGAACATCAAACTCTGAATTTTAAGTCCCGTAGCGACGCCTTATAACCACACCGTGGTGCAATTATGTAAATAATTGAACTTAACAATGATTAATGACCTGAATAGCAACTTATAGAAACATTAATAAACCCTTGGAAGTTAATAAAGTCTGATAATTGTTGTCCCGTAACCATAACCTGAAGACGGGTTATAGTAAGTTTGAAGAGGGCTGTTAAAGGAGAGAAGATAATTGTGATGGATAAGATTAATACCTTAGCATTATTTTGAAGGCTTTTTGTGAGTGAAAATTACTTGCAAATAAATCCTTTGGTGAAGTTTCAAGTACAAATGCACTTGCTGGGCCATCTATCTAAACATCTCATCTAGACATATGCAAGTACAGAGTAAAAGATTTTAATTGAATTTAATTCACTCTTTTTTCTTCACTATCATTCTATTATTCTGGTAGATGAATCGCCTGAAGGGTTGAAGCGGTATCTTGATGGCTCTAAAGTTCCTCCGTAGAGTACCTACTTTGTTCTGGCGATGAAAAAGGGCAACGTGACAATAACGTATTATTTAAAGCAAGGCAAGGTGATTAAATTACAGCTTAATTCAACAATTACTTTTAAGTTATGTATAATCCATTGTTCTCTTTTATTTTATTCTATCTGTTTATTATTTTCTGAGTGTTATTATATTATCAACATCGACACCGGAAATATTTACTTGCAGGCAGATCATCAAATAGGTATTAAAGCGTACCTCTGGTGAAAACATCCTGGTGAAAATAAGATAAAAGTAAATTAGCATTTTATAGAGACGCTAGTTGTAAACCGTGGAAACGGTTTATTGGCCTGTCGTGCAAAGAAGCCATAGACTAACTCCGGTTAAAATCGCAACACATATAACACATAATGGTACGTATATGTGTAAATTAAATACGTTATTTTGCACAAGGCAGGTAGTATTACCCTTAACTCACCTCGCAAACATAAAACTTAATATGCTAAACCCAAATTGACTCTTATTGGTTAGTTAACATTAACTAAATTTTGACTTAAGGAATACCGTCAGAAAATTATAAATTTTTGTATAATTATTAAGGACATGATGATACAATTACGCTTAAAATTTGAAGCCTATAACCCGAGATTAATTCAATTAAAAAATAGATATTTAATATTAATTGCATACGCTCTCTGCAGTTCTGTACTCGTTTTTTAGTTATAAAAAAAAAAAACTAATTGTCGAAAACTTTCAAAAAAATTTTGGAAAATCCAAAAGTGCACGCCTTATAATGCCCATTCATTATTTAAGAAATAAATAAATTGTGTAGTTGATTAAAAAGAAAAAAATAATGACTAAGAAATTTCTTACAGAGTATTTTTCATTTTTTTTTAAATATCAGCGCCCGTTTTTCTTGTTATATGTGCATCCAAACTAAAAAAAATCTAGCTTAATCAAGTGGCGTCATAGTTTCACGTCATATAAATAATAAAAGTTCATTTGTTTTTTACGTGTATTTCGTAGTGACTTTCGACTATGAAATAGTGACTATTTACTATTGAGTAGTGAAAAGTATACCACTATTTGAATTAGTGATTTACTCTGTACTGCAAAAATAGTGAATAGTCACTATAGTCACTATTTCGATTTAAGAGAGTGAATTTTAATAAAAATTCAATTAAAAAAAAAACAAATACGTAAACTAGGCTACTTATATGAAATACGGCACCAGTTCATCGAATTTTTAATCTAATAAAAAAGGCCCGGTCTTGAAATATTAATTTGTTCGGGAGTAATCTTTGGTACATCCAAAATGGGGTGACATTAGAACGTGCATGTAAAATTTTTTTCAAAATAACAACATGAAATGATTTTAGAAAGTAAAATATGGTTTAATTTAAGTGTTTTCTCGGTGTACATCTACTTATATTAATGTATAACTGCAATATGGTTATGATAGAGGCATTTAAAGATCACAAAATTACTTGACTTTGACGAGTCGGGTACAAAGCTTCGCGCTATGAGGCGTGCAAAGCTGACAGTCTTTTAATGTATTTCGACGTTCTAATTAGCAATTGGTCTAATCTATTTTTTAGAAGGTGATTTTTCAACATTTTAATGTAACAACAGTCCAAACAAAAATATTATACCCCTATTAGATATTAAATTGATTTTTAAAGTGATAATAAATTTTGAATTAATTGTTTTTTTCGCACAAATGGAAGATTTTCTAAAATGGAGTTAGACAATTTGCTAATTCAATAAATAACTAGACAATCTAGTAATTTATAAATAAAGGATTAAACTTTAACAATTTATGAAGAAATATATATCTACATACGGAGTCGGACAGAAACAATTGTATGCGTCTTTATGGGTACATTCTTGCGTAAAAATTATGGATTACTTAATTACAAGCTCATACACTTTTGCGGCACGTATATTCTCTAATTTTTTGACAATATTGTACCATGACAACTACCTTAACGCCTGAGAAGTGTTAATTCATAATATAATTCCCGCATGATTCATGATTATCGCTATCTCTATCGATCTCGCTCACTTGTTCCTATGAATTTTTAATTGTTTTAATTCACGCTTCCACGTGTACTTACTTTTTATTTTAATCTCTCGTCATCGTGTCACTCTGAACGGCATTAATTATGCATGCATCTTCCTGATATGAATTATTGTTTTATTTTCTTCTCTCCATACTGTATACTTCATTGTATGTTCTATGTTATATATTGTGTATTAAATGGATTATTTTTCACATATACATTGTCACGAAGGCTTCGTGATTTTTTCTTGTACCGGAATACACGTTAATAGCTCGCTATATCGGCATTACTTAACTTGCATTATAATTAACACGCTCCGTGCGTAAACTTTCCCAGGAGGAAAGTGAGAGCGACGTATGTTTGTAATCACGTTGTATATGCGTTTATAATCCTGCTATTTCCTCAAAGATATAATAACACAATGTACATCTGAGGATTCTTTTTATTATTGTTTATATTTATTGTTATTGTTCTAGCTCTTGCTCTTTTATTAGTTTCTTAGCTAATAACTAAGTGAAATTATAGAGATAATATACTTATATACATTTTATTAATTGTTATTGTAATCTTGTGTGAGCATATAAAAGTTAGGATGTAAAAAATTCTGCTGTGAAAATTTAAATTGTTTTAACTAATTTACAGGTATCATCTTCATTGCTCGTGTGAAATTTTTTACTGAGTTTAACGCCACTCGTGGAAATAGTTTCAATTTTTTTTAGTTATTGAAAAAATATGTAAATTTAAATCTATATTATTAAGAGAATAAAAAAAATTTTGTGTCCAGGATAGTCAAATGATAAAATTTAGTGTCATTGCAAAGGTCTTGATTTGAATTAGTGCCTTTTCAAGGTTTCATATTATTCTCACCGATAAGTATTTAGGCTGTATTCAAGAATGCTCTATCTCCAGATACATAATTAAAAAATTACCTTGTATCTTGTGAACTATTGACATTTTTAAAGATATAAGCTCATCCCGATGTTACGCTCATTGAGACCTTTCATTTGAGTACCCACATCAATTTTTCATATATTTATATATATTATAATATATTTATATATGAGAAATATATGAAAATGCATGTGGGTACTCAAATGAAAGCTCTCGATAAGTATAACATCAAAATAAGCTTATATCTTTAAAAATGTCAATAGTTAAGAAAGTACAGTGCAATTTAATATACTTAAGAAATGATCTTTGCATCTTGTGAACTATTGACATTTTTAAAGATATAAGCTCATCCCGATGTTACGCTCATTGAGACCTTTCATACGAGTACCCACATCAATTTTTCATATATTTATATATATTATATATATGTATGTATGAAAAATATATCAAAATGCATGTGGGTACTCAAATGAAAGCTCTTGATGAGTGTAACATCGGGATGATCTTATTTCTTTAAAAGCGTCAATTGTTAAGAAAGTACAGTGCAATTTAACAAAAGTCATTATTTAATAAAGCAAAATTTTATTTATTTATTATTCACAAGTCACGGTAGTCATATAGTGACTGCAAAATTGCTAGTTATAATTATTACAATAATTAGATATTTAATGAATGAAATAAATAATTAATTTTTATTGTATAAAAAAATTGTAGGTTAGATAGTATGATAAATTGAATGAAAGAAGAAAAGTTTTATCTGTAAATTTGAATTGCGCACAAGTGTAAAGACTTAATTTTTTTTTTAATTGTAATTAAAATTCTTAAAGATGTAAGATAAGAAAATTATAAAGGATGATTCTTATAAGTAATCAATTTTTTGTCTTTAATATTTGAGTAAAAATAAAATTTTTAAACTTTTATAAAAATAACTTTAATTTCTTAATAAAAAATAAAAAATTACC